GTGATGTCCACTGTATTTTCGCCAGGTGTTGTCGAGAAGTGTAGGGAATTGCAGATGTAGCTGATCAGAATATCGGCCAAACCCAATTGTTCGAACCAATCCAGACCAAGGAGGTTCAGGTTTGCTTTGAGGACATAACACTTGCCAGTGAAGGTTGTCCCGCGGAAGGAAATACAGCATTGCATTTGGCCGCGGAAGTGAATTTCACCACCGCGACCACTGATTGCCGTTTCAGAGGTGTTCCTGAGTGGAGGACTTCCGATGGAGCGCCAATGAGTTTCCGAGATAATGGTAACGTCCGAGGCTGTGTCTAGCTGCAGACAAACTGGATGATCATTGATGAGAACGGTTGTATACATCCTCTGCTGCTGTGAAGTGTCTTCGGAGGTGACTCGTAGGCTGAGAGATGAAATGGTGGGGCTGGCTGGGTTGGCTTTTGACCTTTCCTTTGTGTGAAGGTGAAGGTGCCGTCCACTCCTGCAAGACGGGGATGATTTGCAGTATCCGTCCTTGTGGCCTTTAGCTTTGCATCACTGACATCGGTGCTGTTTGTAAGAGCAGAACGTGACATAATGCTAGGCTCCACAGTGCCAACACGCGGAAGGAGGAGTGCCCCTTGATCTCCTTCGACGATTCGTATCGGCTGATACTCCTTTTGATTTCCGCTGAGGAGGGCTGGGAGGGCAAGAAGTGGGAAGTGTTTTTTGGAAATGTTGGACCATATTGACTTCAGGAGCACTGCGGCCGCCAGCTTGGGCCATTCTGGAATCATGCAGCACGCTTCTCCAGTGTAGGTATTTATTATGATCAATCAAGTGTAGCAGCCGCGTTCGCAGACCCGTGCATTTAGGGATTTGAAAACTGCATATGAGAATGAGAGGTTTCAGTTGGTCATCAGTCATTGATTTGAATTGACTTTTCTCGCACTCTCGATTGACCACTGCTGGATGATCAAGAAAATCGTCAAACTCTCCTATTGCGAGTTTGAGGCATTGGTACCGGGTACTGAATAAGGAGGTGCGTTCTCCAAACCTACTTTTGAGATTTTGAACGCTTTCACCAAAAGTAAAGTAGAGTGAGGATTTGGGGAGGATTGCGTCTGTGTATTCCTTCAATTCGGTTGGGCCCAGTTTGCGGGTAAGGAGTCTGACTTTCCATGCGTCATCCTGGGACGCGAGATCGACTCGGAACAGCTCTTCGTCACGCCGATAGCAGGACTCAAACTTTACGCCGTTCTCCGGATCATAGGAAAACTCCGAGATACTGTTAGTGAGGCCGTCAATTGACGACGTACTGGCAGGAGCGGGCTGAGGCGACTGGCGATCTGCCAGCATTACCACTAGCCGCCCGAGTAATTGTTCCAACCCTATGTCACTCATCACAAGAA